TGTCAGTGTATTATTCTTCATATAAAATTTAGAAAATCACATCATATACATGTAAGGAGCGACCCCGTCGTGTGGGTTCGTATCGTGTAGGGCATGACTCTAGTAAATTGCATCATATACATTTAAGGAGTGACCTTGTGTATGAACTTATATCATGTAGGCACAATCCTATAATGGTATGGTACATACAAAGAGTGACACCATATGTGTACTCATATCATGTAGGGCATGACCTAGTATATTACACTATATGCATGCAAGGAGTGACCTCGCATATGAGTTCAGTATAAGGCACGACCCTATTAGATCTCGTAAATGTAGGTGAGACCCCATATGTATGCTCATATTGTGTAGGGCACGATCCTAGTAGATCATCTCATATACATGTAGGGAATAACCTCACATGTGGGTTCATGTCGTATAAAGCAAAACTCTAGTGGATCACATCATATACTTGCAAGGAGTGACCTCGTGCGTGAGCTCATATCATGGACACAACCAAATAGATATAAAGCTCATATACGAGTCATACTCAAACAAGGTTGAAGGCAACAAGTAGACGGGCTCCAAACCATAACCACAAAAGGTAGGGTTCCAACATGAGTCTTGACATGCCACTCTGAAGTTAAGTCCGTCTATATGAAATATGAAAACTCATTAAATTTGGTATCAATTGAACTATAACAACCTAAAAAAAAATAATGATAAATGTATTTTGTATTTTATGTGTGGTGTGTTTGATAATAATAATAATAATAATAATAATAATAATAATAATAATAATAATAAATAAATTAAAAAAAAAAAAACGAACGAAACGAAGCAGCTGCGTCAAGCAGCTGCTGTAAAGGGGGGATGAGGGGTGGCGGACGCGTAGCTGGAGGCGTGGGATGGATGAGTGGATGATTAGAGGATGTGGAATTGTGTTAAGGCTGGATTAAGCTTTAAAAAGGAAGAAAAAAAACGAAGAATGGTGATTAGCGAAAAACGTAGAAAAACAGAGGAGGAAATTTTGAGAATTCGAGTTTTGGTTGCTTAAAATTGGACATCAATCGAGGGTAAAGGAAGAGGGGTTGTTGCTGTGAGGAATCATTTGAGGAAGGGGATACGGCCACGAGCTGAATCGGACGGTGATTCGAAGGTAACGAAAAACCCATATCACCGAACCTTCAAATCTCGATATCTTGATTCACACTGCATAATAAGTTATGAAATAAGGTTTGTTAGGACCGTAGTTAGAAGATCTATAAAGTTGTAGAAGAAATCAGAACGAAATTCGAGCTGTAGAGATGAAATTTTTGCTTCGGGACACAACGGGTATTAAAGGAAAAGATTGGGAAAAATTGCAGGGAGGAGAGGTTGAAGACGAGCGCGTGAAGGACACGCGAGGCGCGTGGGAGGCCGCGAGTGGATGTGCGACTGTACGCGGATCAGGCGCGTGAGAAAACGAACCTCCGACCTTGTATTGGCGCGTGAGGGCGCGTGAGAAGGTATTTTGGCTCCCGGTTTGTCCCGTTTGACTCCTCTTGACCTGTTCTATCAAAACTGATCTATACTTATGTTGAAATCGATAAAATATAGGTCTAATAGGAAGGAATTGTGTTGAAATACTATTAAACGTACATTCAAGGGGGAAAAGGAGTTCGCAACCAAGTAAGTAGCGTATCGACTTTTGAACTAGTTCTTAACTTGTTTTACAACATGTGAGTATGTTGTTTACCTGATTAAGAGCTTAATAAGTTATGATGAACTTTGATGATATTTAGTGTTTATTGTATATTGTGACTGCTTGCCTGTGATGTAAGCGTGATATAAATGATTGTCAGAATGTTCTACGTGTTGATCATGATACATGTATGGAAGCATGCAGTAACTGTGAGTATGTTATGCATGTTAATGGAAAGGTTATGACTCTAGATATGCTTATTGGTTGTTGAGCTATGGCTTATTTACTGAGTATGATAGTCTACTAATTCCCGCGGAGTTCCTGGCCAACGCGCTGTGTGCTAAGTCAGGGAGCATGAGTACTCCTGACCGTTGGTATATGAGATAAACAGGCCGCCAGAGCAATTAGTAGACGGGCCGTATTTGACCGAGAGCGAGTCTTACATACGAGTCCGAAAATTCTAGATAATCATATTGAGAGAGAGTCAGTAATCTAGCTGGAGGTAGCTGAGATACCTCATTAACGAACAGATGACCCTAGTAAGAGAACTAGGAGTCAGTGATGAATAAAACGTAAAAACACCTGGAAAGATTAGTTATGAACCCGTGAATGATAAGCTAGCTACTTACTGAGTAATCTAATTACTCATCAGAATTATTATAACTTTTCTTTCCAGATGTAGATGCTGCAGGCCAGCCGAGGACGAGACCAGCGGGCTAGAGACTATGGGAATCCATGTCTGGGTCTGTTATGTAATTATGTTTCCGTTGTCAAGAATTTACCTTAGTCGTTTTAAGTTTTTTTTAAAAGTACTGTTTTTTTTTTAATATTTTACCGGATGTTTTTTTAGAAATACTTTGAATTTTATGATTGGATATCAGAGTCTCTTAATATTGTCGATGTTAACTCCTGTTAATCGTTGACGATAAGCGGGTGTTACATGAACACTCGATGAACCCTTCATTAAGTCAAGTCGTATGATCGTCGTTAAATTTATTCATAAAATGTTGTGTTTGTGGGACTATTTAAACCATTATCACAATTTTCTGTTCACAGCTGGCCTGGTGGGTCAAGAAAAGATAGAATCAGACTTGTTTTCCACAATAAATCAAAATTTTATTAAAATAACAAAAATCACTTTTTAATTTAAAAATACTTAAAAATTAAAAGGGAAAGACTTTTTATTTGACTTAAAAGAAATAGATAATAGATTTTTTTCC